GCATGTTAATTTGTAACCTATAAGAGGTGAGAAAAAGCTACAGATGTGAGAATGAGATTGTTTCAGTACTACAGAAATTAAGTCTCTAATGAAGCACTCTCTAGTTTACAGAGAATGCTCCTCTACATTATCATCATTATCATCATCATCATCATCATCAGCAGCAGCAGCAGCAGCAGCAGCAGCAGTATTCAAAAACTCCAGGCACAGTCAAAATTATAAAAACATTGACTGGTATTATATTACAGATACAAGTTTTAACCAAAAACCTAAGTATCTGTTATATATCAATATAGGATGTATGTTGTTCCTAATATTGCCAATTTTTGTAGCTCTCATGGTGTGATTTTGAGAGATCTGCAACTGCTTATACTACTGCATCAAATTTCTTGATACTGTTCCCAAAGCCCCAATGACTCAGGTGCTCTCCATTGTAGTGCTTTATTTTTCAGCTGTTTAATTTATTTTCAAGTTGTTGTTTCTTATAATGAACCTTTGTTTCCGTTTTCAAAATATTCTCCATTTTCACTGCTTTCAGTAATTTTTCCTGCTTGTACTGATATAATCATTTAGGCTTTTTTTATCCTCCTCTACTACCTGCTGTATTTGCAATAATCCACGGCCTCAGATTTGATAGTACCAAGTCAATGATTGTACAACGCATTAAAGCCATAGATCTCCAGTATTCACTAGCTTGTGCAGACAGGATCTGCTCACCAATGTACTTTGGTTTAAATTTTAACTTCCCCAAGTTAGCAAATTATCTATATCAAATCATAGTACCAAGGTATCGTTTTCTCTTCTCAAGGGCTAGGTTTAATTGCTTTCCCTCAGCCTTGTTAAAAAGGCGCTTTAATAACATTCCTTATAGAGAAAGGATATGCCCCTGTGGGGAACAAACAGTTGAGTCCTTGGCATACATCATATTATAATGTAGCTTATATAGGTCTGAACGTAACCGTTACCTCTACCCAATAATGAATAAATGTACTCGTATACCTCCCACAGACTACCTGAAGTTTTTGCTGTCCGGAGAGAACCAATTAATAACACAATCGATAGCTAAGTTTTTATTCACAGTTTTAAGAATTCATAAAATGTTATATTAAGACAACTACATGACTCATGTTTTATACTGCTGATATGTTTTAACAACTTACTTATCCTGTATATCTTATATAATGTGCTTTTTTTTTTTTTACTTTCCGGTCTATGACCGTATAATAATAAACTAACTAAAAATGAGGATGGGCAGCAAAATGAACAACTTGGTGGGTTTGCAACCAGGGGTACAGCTGGCTTTAGCCATGAGCTATGTTTCAAATTCGGGAGAGATTCCTGTGCAGTGGTCTTTAAATTTGTATTCATCTTTCACTTCCAGACATTTAAATGCTAAATCTTTTGTATAATGGAAAGTCAGGAGTTCAGGGGAAAAGAGGTTCTAAATGTAAAATTAATGGGTTGCAGATTTCTCTTGGCAAAAAAAATCCTCTTTTGAAATCAACTGCCTCTAGTTTTCATGAGCACAACATTAAATTGGTGGTGTATCACTAGTTTCTAACCCTGCTTCCAGTGAGGTATGTAACCCAACTTTGAATGCAAAACACTGGAGGAGATGTAAAGACATCAGCCCATCACTCACACGTGGGATGACTTTATCTGGTGGTGGCGCTGTGGGCTAAACCGCAGAAGCCTGTGCTGCAGGGTCAGAAGACCAGCAGTCGTAAGATCGAATCCACGTGACGGAGTGAGCGCCCGTCGCTTGTCCCAGCTCCCACCAACCTAGCGGTTCGAAAGCGTGCAAATGCGAGTAGATCAATAGGGACCATCTCGGTGGGAAGGTAAACAGCGTTCCATGTCTAAATCACACTGGCCATGTGACCACGGAAAGATTGTCTTCGGACAAACGCTGGCTCTATGGCTTGAAGAGCGGGATGAGCACCGCCCCCTAGAGTCGGACATGACTGGACAAAAATTGTCAAGGGGAACCTTTACCTTTACCTATACCTGTTCCAGAGAAAAAAACGTTTATTGAAACAGAGAAACCACTGAACAGACAACACTTTTTCTCCTTTTCTTGGGGCTTCTGTCATTCTTTATTGAGAATAACTCTGATGTTCACTATAAGAAGTTAATTATTTTCATGTGTCTGGTTGTGAGATTAGCAATAAAACTGAAGTGTAAAGCAGCAAAATTTTCCTTCAGAGAACTGGAAATCTACACTTTGGAATTCGGCCCTCGTGGAGAAATTATTGTTAAATGCACTGAAGTGTTTGTGCATTCGTTATGTGGAATTCACTTGAGCAGCATTTCAATTCCATTTCCCAGCCTCATGTGCAAAGCAAACAATGTTGCAAACCAAAAAACAAAAAAACAAAAAAAATCCAGGTGGCCTAGATGTTGTGCAATGTGATGGGATCCAGGATGTGTCCTTACATCTGGCATGGCATGTGGCAGCTGGTCATGTGCAATCAGGAGCTCGTATAAGAGCTGATTGATTTTTCCAGCTTGTTGTAAAATATGGTAGCCCAATCCAGTTTTATTTTAAATTATTGACCTAAGGATTATCGAGATGTTAAAAAGCAGTGGTGGTAAAGAATCCCCCTGAAATATTCCTCTTTTGATGTTAACTTCCCCAATTTCTTCACCATGGGCCATTAAGACAGTTTTCCCATTTTTCCATGTTTTTCTTGAGAAACTCCTGAATGTTTTTACTAATACCAAACTTTTTTAGGCAGGTGTTAATCCAGCTGTGTGGCAATGAGTTAAATGCCTTTTTATAGTTGATTCAGGGCACGTTAAGATTTTTCTCTTTTTGCATTCTTCAGGATCATTTTATCAATAAACAGCTGATCTTTCATGCCTCTTGACTTTTAAAAGTTCCCTTTCTATTCAGTTGGATATAGGGAGCTTCCAGTTAAGTATTTATATATACTGTAGATCTTGCAAGTATTCCTGTGAGGAGTATGAAAATTGTTGCATGCAATTGGTCGATAAGTCTGAAAATTGTTGCATGCAATTGGTCGATAATTATTGGGTTCATTGCCCTTTTGATGATCTTTTATTATCAGAAGTGTGTGGCTTGTTATCATCCACTTTTCAGTTGTAGAATTTTGAAGTAAGTGGTTAAATTGCAGTGCTATACATTGATTGAGACTTGCTAGATGCTTTAACCAAAATCAGTGCAGCTCATCTGGACCAGGTGCACTCCAGTTTTTTACATCCTTTTCTGGCCTCTTAATTATTTCAGTTATTATTATAATAACTAAACTCATCCGTTTTTTCAGGGCATCATTCCTTACAAATGTTTTAATCCACAAAGCTTTTTTGTTATGTCTGGTTGAGCTTTTCCACATTTCTTTCCAAAATTTCAGGGCATCATTTTTACATGGGCCTAATTTCTTTTGCTCTGTAAAATGTATTTCAAAATTACGTGTTTTCTCTATATTGTTTCAAGCATCCATCATATCTTTCAATTTTCCTTGCTGTAGCTGTTACCTGCTGTTTTAATTCTTCCATAGTTTCAACAATTGTTTTCCTTTCTAGGTAATATATTTTGCATAGTCTGGCTTTTACTTTTTCATTTTTAAATTTTGAATATTTCCAGTGTTTTAAGTTGCTAATATTTCCTTTAGAGTGTTGGTTGGGATTTTTGTGACGACAACATTTGCATTATTCAGTACATGTTTTACTGGTTTGCTTTGTAATTGGCACAAATTGGGGATCCTTTTTGTGTTCTGGTTAATATGGGTCACTATTCTTCCCCTCAGTGAGGTTTGCCATTCTGCCAACTTATAATTGGCACAAATTGGGGAGCCTTTGAGGTTTGCCGTTCTGCCAACTCATAATTGGCACAAATTGGGGAGCCTTTGTCTTTCTGTGTTCTGACTACTATGGGTTACTATTTTTTCCCTCAGTGATGTTTGCCATTCTGTCAACTCATAAGTTCTGGATTGTTCCATAAGTTGTTCCTCTATTGATATGTTTCCTTCCACTATTGTGCCTACCCTCTACCCTCCACTTGTTTACCAGTTCTGCCAACTCATAATTGGCACAAATTGGGGAGCCTTTGTCTTTCTGTGTTCTGACTACTATGGGTTACTATTTTTTCCCTCAGTGATGTTTGCCATTCTGTCAACTCATAAGTTCTGGATTGTTCCATAAGTTGTTCCTCTATTGATATGTTTCCTTCCACTATTGTGCCTACCCTCTACCCTCCACTTGTTTACCATATTATGGTCATGTCCTGTGTTGATTTTGCCACCTTTTCTAGTTCTTGCAAATCCAGTTCTAAAAACACTTTAGTGTGGATGATAAACCTTCTCTAGTCTATTAATCGTTGTTTTGTCACTACTTGGGTGTTTCCTTCTCCAGATTTCCATCACTCTTTTTGAAAACTACAGGTTGTTGAGTTTGTCTCGTAATAACATTTCATAATTTCTGTTTATTTCCTCTCATCATAATTGATGGTTGGTGGACACAGTTGGTCTGGCTTCTCAGCTGAGACCTGTCTGGCTTGGGAGACCCTTTCACATAGCTCTCAATCTCAGTGAAGTATATAAGCCCCTCCGCCTCAACAAGGCCCATGAAGGGATGATGATGATGATGATGATGATGATGATGATTGATGATGATGATGATGATGATGATGATGATGATGATATAAGCCTATCTGTGTGTAAAAACTACATAGCTAACATATGTTACAGACTGCAATACTTAACTATCTGAGCTGGAAGTCTTCAGTCTGAACTTCAGCTGAGCCTTAACTCACTTGGGTGGCCTGAAATAAGCTACTGTCTCTTGGCAGCACTCTTCCCATGTTATATGTGGCAGGGAACCTGGCCTGCTTTTCAGTAATTGCCATGAAGGAGATGTACGTGGAATGCTTTGAGTTCTTAAGAAGTATACTATATAAATACAATCCAGCAAACAGCAATAAATAAATTATTACATGCACATTAATGTAACGTTAGATCTGTGTCTCTCAAAAGCATTACCTCCTTGGCATCCATGTTGGATTGATCCAGCCGAAGAGAGTAAAGTGTATCTTTTCCTCCAATGAACAACCGGTCACGATATTCATCAAGGTACAAGGATCGGAAATCTAAAATTCCTCGGTGGCCAAGAAACAGGAGTGAGCGGTTAGTGGCCAAAAGATCTAGAAGACATAAATCAAAACACAAAGGAAAACTGTTGGTGTGGTTAAAGTAAGAGCCAACAATGAAGCCCATTTCTGTCAGTAAAACAAGGTTTCAAGCTACCTCCAGCCATTCCAGTCTTGCCTGCCTGACCAGAAAACCTGTGTATGTTTGAATGCCTGCCTGCTTCTGTGTGTGTTTGTGTGAGTAAAGCTCTGTGTTGCTATACAATACTCATTTTTGTCTCGGCACAGCCCACTCAAAGTACTGTAGCTCTTGCACCACCAGCTGCAGTGAGCAGTAGCTGTCAACAGAAACAACATATAAACCACTACAATATGTTAAATACATAGGACAGACTATGTATTGATACTGATTTCTTTCAGTATCAAGTCAAATTACAGTGGTGCCCCACTTGACGACGTTAATCCGTTCCATTAAAATAGCTGTTAAGCGATATCGTCGTCAAGCAACAGAAAAAAACCATTGAAATGCACTGAAAACCAGTTCAATGTGTTCCAATGGGCAAAATACCTCATCGTCCAGCAAAGATCCTCCATAGGGGAAGCCATTTTCAATTGCTGTCTTCCGGAAATAGGTCCGGAAAACAGCGGGCGGCCATTTTGAAACCCCGATGATCAGCTGTAAAGATCGTCGTGAAGCGAAAAATCAGTTCCCGAAGCAGGGAACCGATCGTCGTGAAGTGGATTTTCCCCATTGAAATATCATTTTGCGATCGCAATAGCGATCGCAGAAACCTCATCATTAAGTGCTTTCGTCATCTACCGGGGTAATAGTCAAGCGGGGCACCACTGTATATGCCACTTTAAATACATAGTGTGCAGCTGATTGTGTTGTACTGAATATGTAGCATAAAATGCACAATGTGCATTCAGGTCATACTGGGCGTGGGGCAAGTAACTTTAAATGACCCTCACCACTTAAAAAATAAATCCACTGCTGCCAGCACAGTTCTCTCCCCACTTCTTTTAGTGTGAGTATATGGGGGATGGGGGGAACCAGTGGGTCAAAAGTTTAAATGTCTATTGCCCCTGAAGAGAAGCCCACTGGATGATTCCCCCCTCCCCATATTGTCTGCAAACAGAAGAAGAAGAAAAGGCTCAGCTATATGTTCTGTACTTGGATTATGAAGCAGGCAGGACTGGGCTGGCTGAGGGTAGTTTGAAGGTGAGGGGGGGACTTACCCCACTTGCCCTAATGGATGAGCCACTACTAGTAGTTTAGCCAGTCTCAGAGAAAACAAGACTGGGAATGCACAGTGGAAAAAAAATCAAGGGGCAACTTCAAGGTTTTTAGATTTTCTGAATAAAGCTTGACTAAGCAATCCAACATGGGAGGCACCCTAAAGTCTGCCTGTTGAAACTCCACTGAGTTCCAAACCTTCATTTAATGGATACTAGGCTGAGTGAGGTAGGGAAGGAAGATTCTCCTAAAACCATCTCTCATTGCTGTGATATTTTCCACTGTTGGCTTACACTGAGTTCTTCTGAACTTAAATGTGTGAATGTGTAAATGTTCTTTTTCCAAAGGGGAGTCACTGAAACCAGACACTGTAAAAACAGATCTAAATCAGAGCTTAGATCTTCCCCATGCATTGTATCATAATTGCAATTGTATCACAACAGTGTACCTCTGATTTAGGACCAGGTAGCTTTTGGAAAGGCCATCTTTTATTTAGCCCACCCATCCTATCTTTGCAGAACTGGGGCTGGGATTAAATCTGATCTATTGGAAATTAAACTTGTCAGTCAATGGACAGGTCACCATTTTACACCCAGACTCAAAAAGACCTGGGTCACCAAGTAATTTCTGAACTAAGGAATATTCAATGTCCTGCCTGAAAAGGTGGAAGGAGCTGTCATTAGCTTGGAGTGAAGACAGCAGGGCTCTTTACTGCCGATAAAGAAAAAGGCTGAAAGATAAATGCCCTATAAAACAGTCTATCAGTGTGACAAGTATAACACCCTGACATTTGTAGAATGCAGTTTTATCAGTGGCTGCTGAAAGCCAGGGTGGATTTCAGTGTGCGCAACCATGAAGATTAAAAAAGGTATAAAAAGAAAAGCAATTAGAAAGAGGAGAAAAACAATTTAGGCCCTTCGTGTAAGAGACAAATTGTTTAATTTAAAGAGTCAGCATAAACTGGTTTTCCCAACGTGCCGCCTTCCAGTTATGTTGAACTACAACTGCCACCATTCCCACACATGACCTAAAGTTTAAGCCCTGAATAACTGCTTCTTTCTCTTAGTCCCTGTTGCTCCTACATGCCAGGGGTTATAACAGTTAAAGGCTAAACTGCACATAATGAGTTTCAGGGAAATACACATTTTAGTATTAGCCTTTCAAGGAATTTGCAGAATTGGCTCTGAAAATGTATTGATTCAGGATCATGTCCAAGGAAACATAAACAAAAGGCTTCAAGTCAAGTTATGTGGCTAGAGAAGTAGAACAAAAACCACATGCAAGATTTGGGTAAGGTAACTTTTATCAGATGTCTGAAAAAGACTCTCACAGAAGAACAGGACCAGCTAAAAAGGGGGAAATAATGCACTTGCTAAAATGGGTTAAGTCCTTTAATATGTACCTGGCAGTAATTTTCATCAAACAAAACATTTCACTAGATCTGCACCGGCTCCTGTAATTTAAAAAGAAGGGCGGTGTGCAATTTCTATAAATTGGTCACATATAAACTGGTCAGAGAACAGTTCATGGACCACATTTTTCAAGTCCCCCAGATGTAATCTCACAGCTCTCTCCACATGCAGCACGTAGAGTAACGTGGAGATTTTGCTGCTATGGAGGAGGTGTCTTAGGGCTCAGTCACACTGCCAATTTGTATAGATTCCAGGTCCAACTTTTTAAATATTGATGTACAGTCACAAGGTATTTAAATAGGTATGCATTTAATGTATTTTCGGTAATTAAAATCAGTTTGGGGATCCACACTTGAATGTCGATTCACCTTCTTGTGCCTTGACAACACAAATACAGTGGTGCCTCGCACGACAAAAGTAATTCATTCTGCGAGTAGCGCTGTCTTGCAAAATTTTCGTCTTGCAAAAAGCAAGGCACCACCGTACATAAGGCAGTCAGCACATGGCTGTGGGAGGCAGGCAGCTTGAGGCAACAGATACAATTTATACTGACAGAAGCAGTCACATGTGCCAAACTAATGAAAAATAATCTGAATTTAAATCTGTGTTAGAATAAAAAACCTTGTGCTGGCCCAGTAAAATATCTTGCTTCCAATTAAAAAAACAACAACACGGTTCCTGGGCAAAAAAAATCCCCCACACTTCTGTTTGCGTTGTGTAGTCAGGATTTTAAAAAAACTGACTTTATTTAAGAAAAATCCAATTCAACAGCGGTTCTTATTGCCATTTTGAATGAGCCCTTAGAACATTTCCTCCACTCCCTTTTCTGTAGAATTTGACTCCAAACTTCTCTTCTGTTTTAAAACCCACTTCAAGGAACCTACCTCTCAACCCTGACTCCAGTATGTCACTGGTCTGGAAAAGCCCTCAGAAAATAGAACAAGATGGGAGAGAATTCAAAACCCAATAGTTCATCTTGTAATTTTTGTCTCCTGAAAGGAGTGGTGAGGCACATCTCAGGCAGAACGGTGCATAACTGCCTAAATAAAACCTACGTTTTATATAAATAAATGTCTTTTTCCACCTCCTCCCACAATAAAGGTATTATACTGATTGATAACTCCCTTATCTCTTTTTCTCTGGAATCTTGGCATATTCAACCACTAGGAAACCTCCTGGCAGAAAATCTCCTGGACAGTGAATAAGGGGAGGAGGAGGGCTCAGTCCTAGAATTCATACCATCATTAGAAGGAAACGCAAAAGATTTTCTAGACTAAGGTCCTTTCAATGAAGAAAATCCATTCCTAGTGTATCCTTGGTTAGCCAGCATCTGATTAAAAGCTTCTCTACTCTCTGTCTTAATGTGCTACCTAACATGAAACTTCTTTGTATTTTGAGCCAGTTACATCAGGAGGAGGTTTATGTACAGTAGTTCCTCAGCTAGACGATGATAATCCATTGCACTGAAATAGCTATTTAGCAAAATCATTGTCTAGCGAAAAGCATTTCCCCATTGGAATGCACTGAAACTTGTTTAATGCATTCCAATGGGGAAGAATCGTCGTTGTCTAGCAAAGATCGGCCATAGGAAAGCCGCTTTGCAAACCATCGATCAGCTGTTTAAATAGCTGTCTTGCGACGCTTAGGTCCCGAAAACACCCATTTTGCGAGGGTGGAGGGAGCTGTCAAAATCATTGTCTAGCAAAAATTGGTTTGTGAAGCAGGGACCAAACATTGTCGAGCAAAATTCCCCCATAGGAATTACTGTTTTGCGAATCGCTATAGCGCTCGCAAAAAGTCAATGTCTAGCGAAAAAACTGTCATGCGGGGTATAACAGTCTAGCGAGGCACCACTGTATATGAAAATAAATAGCACCTTTGGTATTTAAATGCTGTGTTACTTCTTGGAACATCTTTTCCCTATGTCATCTGCCTGACCTACTAATGACTAGGTCATTGCAGGCGAGGCCTGTCTTCTTCGCCGTGGCTTCAACCTCGTGGAACCAGGTTCTGGAGGAGCTTCATCTGGTCCCCTCCTTGTGGACATTCAGGAGGCAACTGGAGAGGTAGCTTTTCTGCGAGGCTTTCCATACGGAAATGACCTCCATTTGTCCTCCACTTTGTTGTTCTATAGCTTCAGCGCCATCAGATTTTATTGGTTAGTTGTTATTTTTGTTTTAAATAGTTTTAATTCTATTTAGTTTTGTTTTGTTTAATACTGCCCAGAGTCCTGCTTCAGCACTAATGGGGAGCAATATACCTGTTTTGTTTTGTTTTGTTTAATACTGTAAACTGCCCAGAGTCCTGCTTCAGCACCAATGGGGAGCAATATACAAATTTAAATAATAAATAAATAAAATAATTTGAAAACTTAGTTTTCCTCAGATAATCAATCACTGCTGCTC